GCTGGGGATTCGAACCCGCCACCTTAGGTGTACGTGGCTGGCGCCTTAGCCGGTTGAGCCACAGGCGCCGAGCCACTTAACTCTTAAGTGTAAGAGTTCATTTTTGTGTATGGTGTAAGGTAAGTGTCCAGCTTTATTCTTTTGCATGTGAGTACTAGATACAAGTCCTCATCACATAAATGTATGATTTGCAAACATTCTCTCCCAGGGTATAGCTTGTCTTTTCACTTTATTATTATTATTTTTTTGAGACAGAGTCTCACTGTGTCACCCTGGGTAGAGTGCTGTGGCATCACAGCTCACAGCAACCTCAAACTCTTGGGTTTAAGTGATTCTCTTGCCTCAGCCTCTCACATAGCTGGGACTACAGGTGTCTCCATAACACCTGGCTACTTGTTTTTTACAGTTGTCATTGTTGTTTAGGTGGCCCAGGCTGGGTTCAAACCCACCAGCTCCAGCGTATGTGGCTGGCTCCTTAGCTGCTGAGCTACAGGCACTGAGCCTCTTTTCACTTTCCTGATGGTGTCTTTTGAAGTGTAAAAGCCTATAATTTTGATGAAGTTCAATTTATCAATATTTCTCTTTTATGAGGCTGGGTGCTCACACCTTTAATCCCAGCATTCTGGGAAGCCAAGGTGAGTGGATTGCCTGAGCTCAGGAATTCAAGACCACCCTGAGCAAGAGTGAGACCTACCTCTAAAAAATGCAGCTACCTGAAGTCCTAGCTACTTGGGAAGCTGACGCAAGAGAATGCTTTGAGCCCAAGAGTTTGAGGTTACTGTGAGCTATGTTGCCACAGCACTCTACCAAAATAACACTCTGTAAAAAAAAAAAATTCTCTTTTATGGGTTGTGCTTTTGGTATATTTAAGAATTGTTTACCTAGCCCAAGGCTATAAAAATTTTCTCCTTTTCCTTAGAAGTTTTATAATTTAAAGTTTTACATTTAAGTGTATGATGCATTTTGAATTAATTTTTGCTTATAATGTAAGTTAAAGTCTATTTTTTAAAAACATGGATATTCAGGCTCAGCGCCTATAGCTCAACCGGCTAAGGCGCCAGCCACGTACACCTAAGGTGGCAAGTTCGAATCCCCAGCCCGGACCCGCCAAACAACAATGAC